TTTCGCTATTTGTTTATATATTTTAATCTTTTTTCGCTCACACATACCTTGGTATTAAGTTAAAGTTGTTTTTATTGTTATATATTGTAATATTTAATTTAAAATTTGTATTAAAACAAATAAAAGACCATACACATGGAAATTTGAATAACAATGCACGCATTGAGTGTTGAAGCATGATCGAAAGGCAGTTATAAATATATATTTCAATACTCATGATTTAACTATGGTAATAGGCAAGAAAAACACAAAAGCAATTCATATAAACTTCAAAATATAACCATATTTAATATGAATATAAAGCGCTTTTACTAAATTTTGTTTTTGGTATTGCAGTATTGCATTTTATTTTGTATTGAATTTGGTTTAAAAGGTACTGAAAGCCCCACAGGCCGGGGCATTTGTCCATTTCAACTGTCTGCGCATGGCGGGGCATTAGCTCTGATTAGAAACGAAAATACCTAATCCCCGCCTAATGCCCGGGGTTGGGGGGGAGGCGGAGGTTTACACTGACTGGTGCATAATGCTCGAACCACTGCGTTCAATGGCGAACGCACCGCGTATAATGGCGAAAGCACCACGTATAATGCTCGAACCACTGCGTATAATAGCGAAACCACCGCGTATAACGCTCGAACCACTACGTATCGACAAAATGCCGTTTGATCACTTACGCCAGCTATGGCTTTCCATAAAAGAAAACCAAAGATGAAAGATGATCACATTGCTTGTTTGCCTGTTTATCGGGCAAGAATAGCCTGCCTGCTCGGAAGCAGCGCATTGTGGTAGGCCAAAATACGCCGAAACGATCGGGATTTCATCTGCCTTATATATATATATATATATATATATATATATATATATATATATATATATATATATATATATATATATATATATATATATATATATACATACATAAATCTACGGCAGCAACAATCTGTTTAATCTAGGTTACGATGTTTTACCCTGGTAAATATGATTCAACCATATATGATTAAGAAATATATATTATTTGTTACTACTCCGCAAGGCAAAATTTGTCCTACCATAACCCTTGACCATAACCCTAACCCAATGACCCATGGCCCATCTTCATACAGCGAAATTATTTGAACTTGTCGGGGGGGGGGGGATGGGGGCATCTACCAGATACTATACTGATTGAGTGTGGAGATATGACAGATGGTTGTTGTTAAAAGTTTTGGGGCCCCCTTAAACTGAGGTCCCAGGGCAAATTGGCCCCTTTGCCCCCCTCTCTGAAAGGCCCTGGAGATGATGATGTGTGGAAATTGACCTGCGCACTTGCGAGGACTCCCAAGCTCGCTCTGAGATGTTTTTGCGATGAATGGAATAGACTCTTAACCAGTCCTACTTATGTTATTAGTTTTCGATTTAGACTTCAATTAACATACCATCTTTTCCAGAATTTTCTTCCTTTTTATCACATGAGCCGCTATCCTAAAAAATTGTAATTCACCGGTTATTTAGCATTATTATATTATTTATGCAATACCACGATATTTCTAGCAACCTACTTAAATTAAGGCCTGATTTATACGTCGAATTTCGGTCGCATCGAATTTCATCCAGTGTAGTTAAAACAATAGATAACAAAGCTTAATGAAGTTTATCATTTATTATCTATTGTCTTAATTACATTCGACGCAACGAATATTCACGTATAAAATAGGTTATAACGATCGTTTCTTAATAACAATGCCCAATGCGCCTAAACAGAGAGACATTGCCTGGCTACCCCCATAATTTTGCATTTTGTTAATGGTAGCTTACATCAGGCGATTTTTGGTAGCAAATACTGAACGTTTACTTGGAAGCGAATGTTAATAAGGTGATAAAAACTATATTTCACGAGGGTAACGGCCCGAAGCACGACATTTTAGGTGTAATCAATCACTTAAAGAAAAGGGCTCTTCTCCCCCCAGCCTCCCTTTGCCACCTTAGGGAAGGACAAGGGAAAAGTAGCACTGATGCTCCCCGAGACCCCTGCCCTTACTTCCATGCGCCCACGGCATCCCTGACTCCTTGGTTTGTGTGTTGGTTTATTTTAATATTAAACATTATTAAACATTAACATTAAGATCATGGCTCTGTAGCGTAAATTGTACATATATTGCAAACTAGTTGTTACAAAAATTGCCCTGCGTAACACAGCATTAACCATATCGCATTAATATCATGTTTTTATCATGGTGGCCAAAGAAGTAAGTCTTCGGTCTGTTTCGAACGGCGTGCTTCTCGTGTGCCGAACGCTGACTATCTATTGTTTTTATGCGTTCGGCACATAAGAAGCGCGACGTTTGAAACAGGTCTTAAGGTGTTAGTTTATATTTTTAATTTTAACGCTCAACTTACATCGCTTTGATTCTCGTTTGCGGCTGTGATTTTAACAGTGTCGCTCTCTTCATGATCATCACTTTGTGAATAATGGGGGTCAAACACTGAGTTTGAAAAAATCTTGTCCTTAAACGGATAAAATTTGCGTTAGAAGTTGTGATAAATCTAAGAACTATTTCCAAAGTTCGCCCATTGTTATATAGTTTTTTTATTATTTAGCATTAAATAAATTATTTTGGTTTGAATTCAAGGATAAACTTCAACCCCTAAACCTGACATCGGTCGGTCTTGAAATACATTTTCTTGCCTGCTTATTTGGCAAGCCATCAGTTAGGATTCATAGCACTAGTAGTGTATTTGAAATCTGATCCAACTTCGCGCTTGACGTACGATATAGCGAAAATTTTTCTTTAACAATTTAAATTTTATTACAAAAATGTTTTATTACAATAAGCGCATTATACTACCCTACCCACAAATCAGGTGGTTCATGCGACCAGCCAGGTCTTTTCCATAGATCTTTCCCAGCTGCCCATAGGCCCCTTGGTATGCAAGCGACTCTGGTTTATAAGCTTAAGGTAGAGTAATACGAGCAACAAAATTGCTGCAACTTGCAACAAAATCTGATTTCTACGCATGTTAATTGAAAATGTTTACACATAAATTACAAATCACGAGGCAACATGTGTCAACATTTCTACTTAACATGCGTTGAAGTCAGATTTTGTTGCAAGTTGCAGCAATTTTGTTGCTCGTATTACTCCAGCTTTAGACAGAAGATGTTCGGCAACTTTTGACATTTCGAGCAACTCTTGACATTTTGGGCAAATTTTGTGATTTTTCTCCTTTTCTGGCAGGGTCTATTTTACCCGCAATTATTTTTACTTCTGGTAATTGAAAGTCGAGCATCATGTGTATAATTGATGGTTAGATCGATTAAGCCAGTTTTCCACTTCAATCGTATCGTTCCAAAACGTATTTCTATGTTTCCTGAGCAGTAGTGTGGAACTAATAACGTCGACACAAAAGAAAATGGTTACGATACGGTTGATGTAGAAAACAGGGGATTGCTAATGTGCGGCCTTAATTTGCGAGCCCGAGCCCTATTTTGCGAGCCGCGAGGCTTTCATTTGCGAGCGATGAATGATTTAATAGCGATAGATGAAGATATTAATGAAGAAAATAATCAACAATTAATATTTTAATCTTTTTTTTATCTGTCTATCGATGTGAAATAAATATTTTATTTTTAAACTAAGGAACAAGGTTTTCTACGGTACAAGTGGAGACATGATTCGTGACAAGTGCGCATTAATTCTATATCTATATTATTTCTATACATGCCGTCGATATACTGACGTTTTCATCCTGTCCAAACCCGACGAAGATGTATTAGCGACAGGTAGAGATTAATTGGAACTGACCAGGCATAATATACTAACGGTAGCTATTGTATGTTATTATGCATTAATTTTGGCCATGAGTTCTCCCCTATTTTGAGGCGAGTTGAAATATGCAGTATATATAGACACTGATATTTCGGAACTTATAGCATGGAAATCCGTGAGATTGTTTTGCTATAAAGCCAGGGTAAACATGATAGTCTTAAATCTGATGGCAAATTCGTAAATTTCCGAGCAAAAAAACAATTTGTTATTTCTGAAATTAGTTTAATTCCAGAAACCTCACATGCATATTTTCAGCAAGACATGATTAATTTAAAACGCATTCATTTTAACATACCACCTTATAGGATGTGCTTTGAATAAATGAGAATAATTATAACCTCAAATATAGAGATTAGACGGGTTTGTAAAAGTATAAATAAAGGCTCGCAAATGAGAGGTTTGTGGCTAGAAAATGAAAGGCTCGGGCTCGCAGGCTCGCGCATTAGTCAACCTCTAGAAAACGTGCAGGCTTTAAAATCAGGTGGTTACATTAAAACGATAAAATTTCTCCAATGTTTCTACACACGAGGATTTATCCCAAGTTGCAAAAGGCTTACACAAATTGTTGTGTAAAGGCTTTCTTTTTAAGATTTGTACGAAAGAAATGTACCATTTTGTTTTTGTCTTACTCTATATAAGGGAGTGGTTATTATTTATGGGGAGCTGGGGGTTGGTAAATGGGAAAAATAAAGATTGAAAACTTTTTTGACCCCCCTCCAGACTAAAGGTAAGCTTTTTGTGCCCCCCCCTCATAAAAGTAGAAACATTTTTGCCCCCCCCCCCCGCCTAATGTGAATTGAAAAATTAACAGCAATGAAACAGCTGTGCGTTGAAGGTAAAGTTAAATATTAGAACAATCTGTTTAATCTAGCTTACGATGTTTTACCCTGGTAAATATAATTCAACCATATATGATTAAGAAATATATATTATTTGTTACTACTCCGCAATGCAACATTTGTTCTACCATAACCCTTGACCATAACCCTAACCCATGGCCCTTTTTCATACAGCGAAATGATTTGAATTTGTCGGGGGTCGGGAGGGGAGGGGGACATCTACCGGATACTATACTGATTGAGTGTGGAGAGATAACAGATGATTGTTGGTGACATAAAAACAAGAAAAAAGCGCGGGAACAGCCCCCCGCATCATATTCTATGTGGCCCCAGCACTCTTCTATAACTAGCAGTAATGAATTCTAAGAAACGATCAAGATCTCGGAGCAGACAAAGTTCAGAAGAATGCTCCGTTAGTCGCCACAAACACAGCAAACGTCGTCGCTCTCAAACTAGTAGTAATCGCGATTCCAATAACATTGCTAAGGGCAATGCTATGAGCAGTAATCCTGCCGCTTTTGATAAAATTTTAAGGCAGATATCTGGAATTTCGGAGGTCGTTAACAACTTGGGTCAACGTCAGCCAAATTTAGAGGCAGCGAAAAACTCTGGTCGAAACAACAACAACGCTGGCGTTGCCAACGGCCAGGAAATGGCTCGTTGCCGGTCAACCTCGTCCCCAGGGCCTTTTGAGGAAGATCATGGAGATGGACACACGAGCGAAAATAAAATGAAAATGTCAATGCGGCGAAGTTGTCAGAACGAGCAGGGGAAAAACTTTCGCCGGGTGAAACGGTCTGCAAAGGTCAGTTATTTGATCCCATTGATCAAGTACCAAATTGGTCGACTTCGGACGTTTTTAAAACCTTTTTAGAGATAAAGTTGATTGATTAAGTTGATTAAACTTTCGCTGCAGTTTATCGTCCTCTCAGATCATTTGCCGTTTTAGAAGAAACGCCATTACCAGATTTAGATGTTTTCACAACACCAAAACTAGACAAGGTCATTAGTGATCAGGTGCCGGTTAACTTAAAACAATCGGTAGAAATTCGAGATAAGGAGTTACTTATAGTGCAGAGACATGTCCTCAATGTTGCCGCTCTTTTGACGGCCTTACGTGATTTATTGGAAAATAAACACAAGACGTTTCAGTTCCGGACATGTTGAGTTTAGTGGAAAGAGCACTTTAAACGTTGGGCAATGCCTCAAATTCCTTGTCCGTTTTACGCAAATATAAAGTTTTGTATGCGATAAACCCAATGTCACAAATTATTAAGTTATTTAATTATATTAGTTAAGCTATTAATAAACGTTCGTGCGTGAACATGCAAGGACCATATATGGCATTGTTATGATAGTAAAGTGGTTTTTGATTGACAAGGACGGGGGAGAGAGATATGACGGGTATTAGAAGGGGGAGAATGAATTGTTGAGGTTTTAAGAGTAAATTTTATTATTCATTGTTTTGATGAGGCTTTATTTGTGTCGCTCGCGACCGATTTACATAAGAACTTTGTAACACTGGGGGCTCAGGCGGGAATCGGTCAAACGAGAGCGAATATAAAGCGAAAAGTATTGTTTATCGAGCGGTAAACGAGATATATTTTTGGGAAAATATCGGGATTGAGAAATTCAACGTACGTTGAGATATTCACGGCGTAAATAGAGAGAATTTTACGGCGATGGAGAAGTGGATTGAGTTAGGCAAAGAGTTTGGTTTGAAGGAAAAAGAACTGTTAGACTTTGTTAAAGATCAACAAGAAATCGAAAGGCGTAAAGTAGACGACGATCGACAAGAAAGACAGCGAGAGCGCGACGTTAAGAAACTAGAAGCGAGAGAGAAAGAGGCGATGCGAAGGCACGAACTGGAAATGAAGCAACTTGAAGTACAAGCAGTTAATACAAACGGGAGCGTTAGCGAACATCACCCGGGAATCTCGACAGCGAAGATGCCGAAGTTACCACAGTTTATCGACGGTCAGGATGATTTGGATAGCTACCTACAAAGGTTCGAACGCTTCGCGAAAGGCAATAAATGGAACGAGTCGATTTGGGCGACGTCGCTGAGTGCTTTGTTGACAGGTAAGGCGCTAGACGTTTACTCCAGGATGTCAGAAACAGCCGCAGTAGATTATAAAGAGTTGAAGGAAGCCCTGTTGAAGAGATACAATCTGACAGAGAACGGGTTTCGAGTACGATTTAGGAACAGCAAACCGGAAGAGGGGGAAAGCCCGGAACAATTTATAACTAGACTAAAACGATATTTAACTCGTTGGATTGACCTAGCAAAAACGGAAAAGTCATTCGAAGCGTTGTGCGAACTGTTTGTTAAGGAACAACTTATTGATGCATGCCCTGAGGATTTAGCAATTTATCTGCGAGAAAGAGACCCCGAAAACTTAGACGAGGCGGCAAAAGTTGCTGAGCAATTCCTGATTGCTCATGGGAAGAAATTACACTCCCCATCCAAGCCACCCAAAGGGAAATATCCCCCAAGCGGAAGTACTGGGAACGAGAAGGGAGGAAAATCAGGGGGGAGGATGCAATGTTTTACCTGTGGAGGGTATGGCGATAAGGCAATTGAATGCAGCAAGAACCCAAACAAGTCTCCCCCCAAGGTTGAAAAACGCTGCTTTCTGTGCGATCGCACTGGCCATTTGGCAAGAGAGTTCAAGGTGATGAGGGATAAGAAGAACACAGAGAAAGCCGGGGCAGCCCTACATGACCAGGGCCACCCCCCTGAAAACGACACGAATTTGGAGTCGTGTATCCATGGTGATCAATTACTACTCAGAAATGGTAAAACTTTACCTTTTATTAAGAGCGGTAGTGTGTCCTTGGTCGACAGCACTGCGAGAAAGATGCCAGTTGTCAGAGGCAGAGTGGGTGAGAAAATAGTCGACACTCTGCGAGATACAGGGTGTAGTGGGGTGGTAGTACGCAGATCCCTAGTAGCTGACGAGCAATTGACAGGACGGGTTGGCTATATGTTACTGATTGACAACACCCTTCGCGAGGTCCCATTGGCGGAGATAACCGTAGATACACCTTATCTGAGAGGTCAGGTCGAGGCACAATGCCTCCCTGAGACAATCTATGATCTCATTATCGGCAACGTCCCTGGGGCAAGAGCTCCGGACGATCCTGACCCCACCTGGCAAGAGGCATCAGCTGTAACCACCCGTGCCCAAGCCAAAAAGAGTAGTACCCTGAAGCCACTTCGAATTCCTGAGGAACTTAGGGGATCGGCCGTGGACCGAAATGATCTTAGTCGGTTACAAAAGGAAGACCCGAGCTTGGAGAAGTATCGCAGTCAGACGGATCCGAAGAAAATCCATGATGGTGAGGTGTCATTCGAGGAGAAGAACGGTATACTTTTTCGGGTATTCAAGATTTTCGATGCAAATGGTGAACAGACGACCCGCCAAGTGGTGGTGCCGCAACCTCTTCGACAGCAAGTCATGAACGTTGCTCACAGTTCCATTCTAGGGGGTCACCTCGGTGTGAAGAAGACCACAGATAAGATCACTGGCAACTTCTACTGGCCAGGCATCCACGGCGATATAACTAGATTTTGTCAGTCTTGTGATATATGTCAGCGGACAGTTGCAAAGGGAAATGTCTCGAAGACACACCGTTTAAGCGGGTAGCGGTAGACTTAGTCGGACCGATATATCCTCCGAGCGAATCCGGACAGCGATATATCCTTACGTTAGTGGACTATGCAACTCGGTACCCAGACGCAGTGCCATTGAAGTCTATAACAACCGAATCAGTAGCCGAAGCGTTGGTCGACATGTATAGTCGCCTGGGTGTCCCAGAGGAAGTCCTGAGTGATATGGGGGCCCAGTTTGTGTCGGAGTGCATGGCTGAGGTATCAAGACTCTTGAGTATACGACAGCTGACAACATCCCCATACCACCCAATGTGTAATGGATTGGTGGAAAAGTTCAACGGAACTTTGAAGTGTATGCTGAAGCGGTTATGTTCGGAACAACCTAAGCAGTGGCACCGATACATCAATGCCCTTCTGTTTGCATATCGGGAGGTACCTCAAGCTTCAATGGGATTTTCCCCCATTCGAGCTGCTCTACGGACGGACAGTCAGGGGGCCCATGACCATTTTGAAGGAGCTATGGACGGAAGAGTTCGATGAGGCGGAAGTGAAGACGAGGTACCAGTACCTGATTGATTTACGGGAGAAACTGGAGCAGACCCTCAAGCTTGCACGTGAGGAATTGAAACGATCACAAGCGAGATATCAGCGATATTACAACCGGAATGCGAAAGACCGGAAGTTCGTGGTCGGAGATAAGGTCCTCATCTTGTTGCCAACTGATAAGAACAAGCTTCTCATGCAGTGGAAGGGCCCATTCGAAGTCGAAAAGATTGTCGGAACCAACGATTATGGAATTCAGGTCGGCGGAAAGGTGAAGACGTTCCACGCGAATATGCTCAAGAAATATATTGAAAGAAAGAATGCTGATGTTAATAACCGAAAGCAGGAATTGGATGGAGGTGATGACGGCGACAACAAAGGGGACAGTGTCGGCGGCCCAGTTCTTCACCTAACTGCAGCTTCCATAATTGAGACGAGTGTCGGTGCGTCCAATGGAGCAGTTGATGATGAAGAACTGCTGGAACTTGGTCCCACAGTACCGAAGGAAACAGCTGCAGACGTGGTCTTAGGTGAGCAGCTGACTGAGGAACAGAGAGTCCAATTAGAAGAACTGATCGATCGATATGAACACATCTTCACCGACGTGCCGGGCGATAGTAACCTTACAGAACACCAAATAGAGGTGACGTCCGAGGAACCTATTCGATCCAAACCGTATGCAATACCCTACAACGTGAGAGAGTCCCTAAAGGAGGATATCCAAGCAATGCTGCAGATGGGCGTGATTAGAGAATCGAAGTCTCCCTATGCGTCACCGGTCGTGGTGGTACGTAAGAAGGATGGTACGAACAGAGTGTGTGTTGACTATTGGAAGCTTAATCGGCTCACGGTTTTCGACCCTGCACCAGGTAATACTGCCGAGGAGATATTTCAAAAGATGGCCAAGAAAAAATATTTCACGAGAATTGATTTGAGCAAAGGGTACTGGCAAATTCCCGTCGCGGCGAAAGATGTTCCCAAGACGGCGTTTGTTACACCGGACGGGACCTACGAATTTATCTGAATGCCATTCGGAATGGTTAACTCGGGAGCAACGTTAGCGAGAGGAATGAGGAAACTGATCGATGACCTCGACGATGTCGACAACTACGTGGACGACATCATCGTGCACACAGAGACATGGGAAGGCCATTTGGTAGCCCTGGATGAGTTGTTTCGCAGGCTGCCCGAGGCTAAGTTGACAGCGAGACCTACAAAGTGTGTGATGGGCGCGAAAGCCATCGAAGTTATTGGTCACCGAGTCTCGGAAGGGATCAAAGGTCTGCAGGAAGAAAATGTCAGAAAGATCGAAGGGGCGACCAGACCAAAGACCAAGAAACAGGTTAGGGCGTTTATCGGGCTGACCGGTTATTATCGCGACTTCATCCCCAATTACGCGGCGAAGGCAGCACCCCTAACTGATTTGACCAAGAAGGGGCAACCGAACAAGGTATCATGGGAGAAACCGCAGGAAAAGGCATTCATGACATTAAAGAGGGAACTCACGAGTGAACCCATCCTTCACCTCCCAGATTCAGCCAAGCCGTTTGTGTTGAGAACCGATGCCTCAGATGTTGGAATCGGAGCGGTGCTGATGCAGGATCATGATGGGAAATTATTCCCGGTCAGTTATGCTAGTAGAAAGTTATCCCCGAGAGAATGCAAGTACAGCACCATCGAAAGAGAATGTTTGGCGATCGTGTGGGCGATACAGAAGTTTCGAGTCTATCTTTACGGAAGAGAGTTTGTACTCCAGACGGATCATCAACCATTAATATACCTAAACCGAGCGAAGTTTTTGAATGATCGTATTATGAGATGGGCTATGTTTCTACAGAGTTATGCGATGAGGATAGAGTCCATCAAGGGTTCAGAGAATGTAGGTGCGGACTATCTCAGCAGAGTTTACTGAGGACGCCAATAACTTTGCAAGGACGTTAAACAGTAGTTTTGAGACAGTCACTTCAGAATTTGTGGTTTGGAGTGAGTTGACAAGTAAATCACTCCTAAATGGGGGAGTCGTGTCACAAATTATTAAGTTATTTAATTATATTAGTTAAGCTATTAATAAACGTTCGTGCGTGAACATGCAAGGACCATATATGGCATTGTTATGATAGTAAAGTGGTTTTTGATTGACAAGGACGGGGGAGAGAGATATGACGGGTATTAGAAGGGGGAGAATGAATTGTTGAGGTTTTAAGAGTAAATTGTATTATTCATTGTTTTGATGAGGCTTTATTTGTGTCGCTCGCGACCGATTTACATAAGAACTTTGTAACACCCAAAGATGGTCTCTTTAGCAGAGGCCTCATACCCTAATACAGGGAAGCAATTGTTTGGCAGTGACATAACTAAGATTGCTTCAGAAAATGCTGATATTACGAGAAATTTACAAAAAAAATTTCACAATCACATTCCTATTTCAAAAATAGATTTCAGTTCTGTAAATATCAGTCAAAGTTTCGTCCGAACTCATTCGGACAACAACGGTTTCCTCATCCGCCAAAAAAGAGGCCTTTTCAGCAACAGCCCTTTCGGAAAAATCCATGGTTCAACAACAACTCCCAGTAACAAGTCGCCTGCAGTTTTTTTATGCAAATTGACAAAATATCACTCAAGATCCATTCATTTCAAATGCAGTTCAAGGTTTCAAAATTTGTTTTCGTTCTCATCCGATTCAGTCCATTGTTCCTCCGGTTTCAAATCAGGATTTAATAATCAAGGACGAAGTTTCGTCACTCCCAAAGAAGGGAGCAATAAGAACATGTTCCTTTCAGCACAGACGGGTTTTACCATCGTTTGTTTCTGGTCCCCAAAAAAGGCGGGGACCAGAGGCCAATGTTGGATTTAAGTTCATTAAACCAGTTTATCGATTAACATTTCAAGATGGAAAATTTATCTAAAGTCTCTTCTCAACAAGGGGGACTATATGATAAACTTAGACTTGACGAATGCGTACCTGACAGTTCCCATCCATCCTGTCTCCCAAAAATTTCTTCGATATTTGTTCGGGAACGAAACTTAAATTATCAGTTTACAGTAATGCCGTTCGGGCTGAATATTGCTCCCAGATTTTTCACGAAAATTGTGAAACTTGTTGTGGCCTCATTGAAAAGCAAAAGGATTCGTTTGATCATTTATCTCGACGACATTTTGATCACAGCCTCTTCAGCCGAAACATTGAACCATTGAACCTACAAAAAAATAGCAATCGACTTGCTAGAGTCTTTGGTATTCCTGATAAATTACAAAAAGTCAAATCTCATTCCATCCCAACAGATTGTGTTCTTAGGGATGTTGGTAGACTCGGCATCAATGCAGTTCGTATTGCCTCACACTAAACAAAAGATGTGCAAATTTAAAAAGAATGTCGTCTTCTATTGAATTCAACTACTCCTACAATTCGACATCTCTCTCGGGTGCTGGGACTGCTCGAGTCCTGCCGCCCAGCCGAATATGGTCTGCCCCACTCCACTACCGTCATCTACAAACTTTGCAGTCAGTAGCTTTGCAGATGTGGTCTAATTACAATGCCTTGATAAGTTTGACACCTACAGCCAAGACAGACCTGGCATGGTGCATAACTGCCCTACAAATACAGCAGCGAGGTCAAATCATTTCACCATTAGCAGATTCGGATGCTTATAAACATGGGTGGGGGGGGGGGGACGCTGAGGCACGGGAGGCTATTGGAGCGAGAGAGAGTCGCAAGACCACATAAACATATTAGAACTTCGAGCAGCATTCTTTGCCTTCAAGTCCTTCTTGCCGAGTCAGACAAGAGGTCTGGGAGTGGTGCGAGAAGAGGAATATATTTCTTCTTTCACAGCACATCCCGGGCAAGACAAATATCGAGGCGGATGCAGAGTAGCGGGTGAAACGCGATTTGAACGACTGGAGCATACATCCAAAAGTTATGGCTCCTTTAATGCACGGTGGACTGTTTGCCTCTCGGCTGACGCATCAACTAGAACAGTACGTCAGTTGCAGGTCGGACCCGAACGCAATGCACATCGATGCGTTCACGATGAACTGGTCGAACCTGGTGCCATATGCCTTCCCTTCATTCAGTCTACTTCCAGCAGTACTTCACAAAGCCAGAAAGGAGGCAGCAACGCTAGTGTTGGTTGCACCTTTATGGACCGCACAGCAATCTCACCGTCAATTTCACGTCCACCACAACCTAGGCACCAACGCAATTGGGATGTTTCTGGTGATAATAGTGCAATTACTTATTATAATATGATAATAGTGCAATTACTATAGGTGATAATAGTGCAATTACTTTGAAGCAACTTTCACATAATCTCTGTATGTTAATGGCGCTAACTTGCCCTGAAAGAAGCTCGGTCATGGCTTCATTGGACATCACTTACATGCGCTTCTACCCAGAAGGAGTCAAGTTCTCTCACACCATTTTTCGCAAGCGATCTCATAGTGGGAATTTAGGGGAATCGGTTTATCCTAAGTTTACCAAAGAATCTCTCTGTCCTGATATGTGTCTTACAGAGTACCTAAAACGAACAAAAGAATGGAGACAAAAGAACGACGACAAACCACGTCTTTTTCCATCTTTCAAAAAGCCTCACAAACCTGTTTCCTTATCAACGCTTTCACCTTGGGATTAAGGAAGTAATATCATGATTGCGGGTATTCCCTTTGTTCTCGCAGGGCAATTAATAACTAATACACCTCATTATATTCATTTTTTCTAATCCTACCCGCTTTTACGTCATGTCAGGTAGAATTAGTTGTAATAGTAAACATGCACAACTGAACGAAAGCGTACGAATAGCCTCATTAACTGAACGACAAACGCGCTTAAACTCGCTTGCTTATTGGTCGAGACGAAAAATTATAAATTTTCGTCAGCTAAACGTATACGATCATCACATGACGTTCCAAAACAAACGTACGTATGTGTCGAAACTCTTAAAACCAGGCTTGCTGGTTGGTCGAGACAGTACATTATGAATTTTCGTCTAGTGAGTAAACCAATATATTCTAATCGTCAAGACTATAATTTGAATGTCTGCCATGAAAAAACAAGAGTGCGTAAACACAATTGAATTGAATTTTTAACTACCAGTTATTAACAACAATAGGATAACTTTCTATACTGTAGTATCATTTTTTGTTGGGGCATCCACACATAACTAATTAATGTCAATTCGTCAACCGAAGACTGGCCTCATAATAATTTGTTTACACAAATCTAAACTCTAAAGTACGTGGCGCATAATTAGGTAAGCCTGAGCAACTTGAAGTGTCCTTTCACAATGCAATTATATTTACAGAAAGGAAAGTTAGCTCTCTTTAACTTTGGGTTATTAGATTGGGCGCATGTTTGTACCAGGAATAATAGTACAGACTGGCGTTTAAAATGCATGGTTAATTCACTCAGTAAAGCTAGGGAACGGAAAGTATATAAGGATAGTGAATCTGTCTTCTATTTCCTCTCCTCGTTTGCGAGTAAACTGTTGGGCGTACATCACGTACAATCTGTAGAAAGGATTCGACACTTTCCCCCGTTAAATTCCAAAACAGAATTTGCTCTCTTTCATTGAAAAAGTCGCGACCTTTGCATGAACGCCGAACCGAACACACAAGATTGGGAAACAAATACTCCTTCCATACGT